GAAAAAAAAAAACAAAAGGGAAGTGCTGGCCGGGTGCCGCTGGCTCACACTTTTAATCCCTCACTTTGGAGGTCAGGTGGGAGGATCGCTTGAGCACAGGAGTTCAGGCTGCAGTGAGCGCTGTGATCGCATCACTGCAACTGCAACCTGTGGCAACAGATGCGGCAATCCTGTTCTCCCAAAATAAAAATAATTGGATGAGGTAATTTTGTACAAGCTCTTGGTCCAAGCTCAGCACTGGAAGACCTGCATAACCATTGCTCTTGACTGTTCCAGGTTGCCGTGCAGAGGTCTGGTGGGCCCTTGCCAGCCACTTAGGCCTCCTGTAGAGCAGACTCGCAACTGGGGACCATTTGATCCCCCACAGGGTCATTTGGCAATTAACTGGAACATTATTGTCGTTGGTCAAAGGGGTTATGAGCTAGGAAGTCTACTTGGATAGAGGTCAGGAATGCTGCTGAGTTGTTCCTTACGATATGTCCACAAGCTGCATCCCGCATCAGGACTAAGAATATGCACCCTAAAATGTGTGTCGGTCGACGTGGAGGAAGGACCACCTTGGAAAAAGGAACAGGGCAAGGATGGGGGAATGACGTGCACCTGTGGGTCCAGCTACTCAGGAGGCTAAGGTGGGATGAGGATTCACTTTAGCCGAGGAGTTGGAGGCTGCAGTGAGCTAGGATCACACCACTGCACTCCAGCCTGGCCAGCAGGAGGGATTCAATGAGGCGAGGAGTTCAAGGGACCAGCCAGGACAGACAATAGCAAAACCCACTCTAAAAAAAAAATAAAAAATAAAAAAAAGAATAGAGGAATTCAGAAAAGCCAAGTTTCCATAGATCTGGGGTTAGCAGTGAAGTAGGGACCGGGGTTGGCGATGGTTCTTTATGGGTCATGAAGATAATTTGATCCGAAATTGGTCTTCAGGAGGAGGCAGAGCTTGTTTTCCTTTATTTATATATAATGGATTATATTACATAGGAAAAAAATAAAAATATAAGTATATTATATATTTTTTTTTCGGAGTCTTGCGGCAAGCTGCCTGCCTCCTGGTCATTGCTTCAGTTCTCTCTGCGCTCAACCTCCCGATGTAGCGGGATATCACTGGCAGCAGCCACCTACTCCTGGCTATTTTGTTGTTATTTTTTTTTTTATTTTTATGTATGGAGAGGGAGTTTGGTTCAGGAGTGACCGGATGTGCGGGATCTCTTCTTTTTTTTTTTGATCCTCGTGAATCCGTCGCCGGCTCTTTGTCCTTCCCAGATTTATGTCTGTAGTATTTTACAGTGTTGTATGCTCATCTTCTACTCCTATGGCCTTTATTTATATGTGTGGTGAGTTGACAGAGCTGTCTGTGCCCTCAGGCTGGAAGGCAGTTGTCGGTGATTCTCGGCGCGACGGCATACTCCAGCCTCCAGGTTCAAGTGGATTTCCGTGCCTGCCAGTGCGTCCGCCTAAGTTAGCCAGGACGACAGCATGAGATGTGGTTTTGGACACCTGTAACCATCTCAGCTTAATTTTTTTATTTTTATGTATTTTAGTATCAGACATGGGTTTTGCCTATGTTGGGCATGGCTGGTCTTGATACTTCTGACTCTCAGGTCATCTATCCACCCTCAGCTTCCAAAGTGTTGGGGATATTACAGTCACGAGCCACCTGTCAGCCTGGCCGGGGAGGCAGCAGGATTTAGGACTCAGGTGGGAAGATGGGAGCCCCGCCCTCATCTGTGGGTGCTCTCCTAGGCACCAGTAACAAGGACACCAAGGGTAACCCAAGCCTGTTTATTCACCATCAACAAAGAAGACCACACACACTGGGAAACATCATAAATCGTAAGTTCCCAGTCAACAGATGGCGCTCAATAGGTGCTGACTGTTTAAGGCCCCTCTGTGGCAAGAGCATCGCAAGTCCAAGATCGGTTCTCAGTCTCTCTGAGCTACAGGAGGTCCTTCTGGTGGGGCTGGCTGTGGGCATAATTTATCATCATGTACCTTTTTTTTTTTGTTTATGAACAGGGGAATCTACTGTCTGTCAGCCCAGGCTGGAGTGCAGGACGGATCATCAGACTAACACTGCAGCTCCGAACCGGCAACACGGGTGTGCCATTCTCTGCCTCAGCCTCTACCGGAGTAGCTGGACTCACGAGGCGCCCGCTCACTTTCGGCCAAACTGCTAGTATTTATCGGTAAAATATAGTAATATATTATATAAGAGACGAGGGGGTTACCACCGAGATTAGCCAGGATGGTCTCGATCTCCTGACCTCGTGATCCACCCGTCTCGGCCTCCCAAAGTGCTGGGATTACAGGCTTGAGCCACTGCGCCCAGCATCTTGGTACCTTTTTATCAAAATGACACTGACCTCCATGTCTTCACATAAGCCACGCTTCTGTAGTGGCTTATTCTGTAGATGAACATGTGCATTTACATTCACTTTTTTTTTGTTTTTTTTTTTCCCGAGACGGAGTTTTCGCTCTTGTCGTCCAGGCTGGAGTGCAGTGGCGCAATCTTGGCTCACTGCAACCTCCACCTCCCAGGTTCAAGTGATTGTCCTGCTTCAGCCTCCCTAGTAGCTGGGACTACAGGCACACGCTACGATGCCCGGCTAATTTTTGTATTTTTAGTAGAGATGGGGATTCACCATGTTGGCCAAGCTGGTCTTGAACTCCTGACCTCAGGTGATCCACCTGCTGGCTTCCCAAAGTGCTGGGATTACAGATGTGAGCTGCTGCGCCCAGCCTTTTTTTTTTTTTAGACAGTGTTGCTGTGTTGTCCAGGCTGGAGTGCAGTGGCGCAATCTTGGCTCACTGCAACCTCCACCTCCCAGGTTCAAGTGATTGTCCTGCTTCAGCCTCCCTAGTAGCTGGGACTACAGGCACACACTACGATGCCCGGCTAATTTTTGTATTTTTAGTAGAGATGGGGATTCACCATGTTGGCCAAGCTGGTCTTGAACTCCTGACCTCAGGTGATCCACCTGCTGGCTTCCCAAAGTGCTGGGATTACAGATGTGAGCTGCTGCGCCCGGCCTTACGTTCACTGTTAAGTGCACATTCTATAAATGAACGAGCAGCAGATTCCAGCACAGTAGGCCTGTGTGTTGTTCATGCTAAGGGGCATTGAAAAGCAGTCAAGATTAGCTCCCTTCATGCCACCTGTCTGTGACCTCAGTGCCACCTGGGACTCTAAGATGTATGTGGCAGAGACTAGAACTTCTATTTAACAAGAGAAAGAAGTAGGAGAGTTCTGAGGCGTTCCAGTGCCCCTGATGGGTGCCCTGCATTAGTTGGTGGATGTTCGTTTACACCAGTGAGGTCCTAGCCAGGTGGTCGGTCAGGGATGTGACGGCCACTCTGGCCCAGGGACTTGTCATTTTCCTGTAGACTTGGCTCTTCCCTCTGGTGCCACCAGCGAAGCCAGGCCTTTCCCTGTCTGTGAGTGGGGTCTGCCCAGTCTCCTGGTGTGGTCGGGCACAGGGATGGAGGACTCTTGCCCGGAGCCCAGCCAGTGGGGCACCCAAGCTCTCCTGGGGCCCTGCTGCTCCCCTGCTCTTGAGCCCAGTGTTGCCAGCTATGCATGGGTCCCCCTCGTGGTGCTCACACCACTCTGAGCTGCTCTAGAGGAGACCCCAGTGTGTCCAGGGCACAGTACGTGACGCAGCCCCATCCAGTGTGCGTGGCCAGCCGCCGGCAGCTGTGCTGCTCGGAGGACAGAGTTGCATTTCCATTCCACTCACTGCTCAGAGCCTGGGCCCTCCTCTCCTTGCTGCCTTTATTTGCTGTGTGGATGCTCTTTTTGGGCTTTTTGGGTCTGAGTCACTGAACACTGTCTGGACATTCGCTGCCTAGATCATCTCTCTGGCAGCACTGCGGTTCCCTGTGGGAAGAGGTTGCTGGAATCCGTTTCCAGCTTGGGTCCTTCAGCCTCATGGATGTGGGGGGTGTGGGGGACCATGTGTGTGTCCTTCAGCATCATGGATGCAGGGTGTTATGTGTGTGTGTGTGTGGCGGGTAGGGTGTTCCCACATGAGGTATCTTCCTAAAAGCATTACTTTCCTTGAAGACTTTTGGGGAAAAAAATTGGGGGGTTGGATTTTTGGCTAGAAAGTCTGTTCTGCTCTGAGCTGGCTGCCACCCAGCTTGGGCCTGAGCCCCGAGGGCATGAGGCTAGACCTTCACACTGTCTGTCCCTGGACCGCAGACAACTCCTAAAGGACCCACAGGTGCTATTTGCTGGCTACAAAGTCCCCCACCCCTTGGAGCACAAGATCATCATCCGAGTGCAGACCACGCCGGACTACAGCCCCCAGGAAGCCTTCACCAACGCCATCACCGACCTCATCAGCGAGCTGTCCCTGCTGGAGGAGCGCTTCCGGGTGAGGGCGGGGCCCGGAGGGGCGGGCGGCGTGGGCTGGACACCGGCCCATGTGCCTATGCCTGGGACAGCCCTAGCCTGTTTCTTCGGAGGTCTTGGGGGAGAGGCGGTGCTCATGGAAGGGCAGGGACTTCCACCACAGGCTTCAGGACGTGTGGACTGAGAGGTTGTGGAGTCCAGGCCTGCGGCTTGCCTGCCCCATGGGACTTCCGTAGCGCGGCAGGGTCCCCTCATGTGCTGTGAGCCGGATCGGGGCGGGGAGCTGCTGTCCTTTGGGGGTGCTCTTCTACGTCCCTTATGTGTGGTTGGCAAGGCCTGGTCCTTCCAGGCCTCTGTCTGGGAGGCAGCTCACCCCAGGGTGGCCCATGCCTGTTCCTGGCAGGGCACCTGGGAGTCTATAACAGTTTAGAGGGGAAAGAGCCACAGCTTGGGGGATTTCAGTGTCTTGAGTCATCTGCTCCCCAGGAAGCCTGTGGCCCCTGACTCCTGCCTGGGCTGCCATAGAGAACGGCTGGACTGGGCCAGCTGGGAGGGCTCTTCAGTTGCTCCACTGTCCTGGGGAGTGTGGCCCATGGCTGCCCTCCAGGAAGGGCCTGGCCAGGGGATGCTGGGCTTGTTTCCCCAGCGTCCTTGCCCCAGCTGTTCCAACTCAGTCTCCGCCTTCTTCCTCTCTCCCAGGTGGCCATCAAAGACAAGCAGGAAGGAATTGAGTAGGGGCCAGAGGGGGCTCTGCTCAGCCTGTGAGCCCAGTTCCTACCTGCGCGTGACCCTCCGCTCCAGGCACTACGCCGAGGAGAGCGGCCAGTCCCAGCCATGGCCCGCCTTGTGACCACCCCTCACCCTGACACCGACGTATCCTGTACATAGATTAGGTTTTATATTCCTAATAAAGGATGGCGGAAGAGACCTGGATGTGGACTTGAGCAGCGGTGACTTCACAAGCAAATGGATGGTCAGGCTTGATGCAGGCAGATGACCTGTTTCAGGGGCCTCTGGTTGGCGGGGATGAATTCATTCTGGACCAAAGCTCCGGAGTCCTGGGTCTGCTGGGGAGGCAGTGCTGAGCCGGAGGGAAGTGTGCAAACCCATGAGCTCCCATGAGTCTCTGCTCTAGAAGCCTCAGCTCCTGGGCCTGCCTGTCAATCAAAGCAGGAACACTTTTTCCTGCATAACTCGAAACACCTTTCCACAGGCTTCTTGTCCACAGTAGAGAGTTTAATAAAAATATTCACTGATAGAAAGACCCCCCACCCCCATCGGCCCAAAACTGAATAAGTTAGCTGTGTCCCTGGTCCTTTGCGATGGTGTGAGGCTACAGCCTCCCCCAGATGGCTACGATGTTGGAGTCCGTCAGGGCGGTGAGGTAGGTGAAGGAAGCATTGGCCACCACCGTGTTCACCATGGTCTTGGTCACCGCCTGGCCAAGGGCCCAGGGCTGGGGCCACTTCAGGATCTGGTGGGGGGAGAGAGGAGGGCTGGGCTGTGCTGCTGCTGACCAAAGGCAGGGTCCCTGATGCCTTGCCAGCCCAAGCCTGGGCAGGATAAGCCAGGCGGTACCTGCGTGGGGGCCTGTGGGGCTGCCGGCAGCGGGGGTGGCTGCTTCAGGATGTTGCTGACATCGTAGAGCCACACGTTACCCTCCTCATCCCCACAGAGCACGATCCCCTTATCTGTCAGGACAGAGGTGGAGCCTGAGTCGGGGCAGAGCTCCCAGAGGCCCTGAGGGGATGGGGTGGGCAGGCAGGCAGGCGGGCTCACCAGGGCAGGTGCTGAGCGAGAAGTAGGCCAACTCGGTGGGTGACCACTGCAGCCGTGCCAGGACCACCACTGCCACCGTGGACTGGCTGCCCCGGCCCCCCCACGTCTGCCTCCAGCTCCACAGGCAGATGGTACCCAGGCCGCTCCCCTTGGAGGCTGTGGGGGAGAAGGGAAAGCTGTGCAGAGTGGCCCCTCCCGGACACCTCCTCCCACTAGAGATCATCAGAAGCCCAGCCTGGGGACAAGTGGCCCATCTGTGTGCCCAGAGGCCAGGCTGTCCCGCGAGCTGGGCTCACTCACCCACGACGTCCTCATTCACAAATGCCAGCCCATCCACTCTCCGTCCAGATGCCTCGGAGCCCTCAGAGAAGACGAATTCCACTTCACACACCCTGTGGGGCAGCAGGAGATGCTGGTTGGCCATTCCTTGCAGATAGAGAGCTGCCTGCTTACCCGGGGAATCTGCAGGGCACCTGCTGGGGACCCTGCCCTGTGGGAAGGCGGCACAGAAGATGCCACCAAAGAGATACATTCTTGGCCCCAGGAAGGTTCAGTTTGCCCTGGAAGGGGGAGCCAGCACCTGAGTGTCCCAAGTCACAAGTAGTGACCCAGAGGCATGAGGGGGTGGCTCTTCCAGGACAGGACTAGGCCAGGTGGTCTGAACAGGCTCTGAAGCGAGCCGGTGCTTCTGGGACCGAGTGTGAGATGAGCAGGGGCCCTCCTGGCAGCCAAGTAGGGCAGGTGTTTCCAGGCCATGGCCCCTGTTGGGGGTATCTGCTCTGACTCTAAAGACGGGAATGGCTGCTGAATGTTTCAGAGCCGAGAGCGTATGGGAGTGTCTGCTTGGAGAAGTGTCCCGGCAGCTACCTGACTCAGAGACTGGCCTGGAGCCAGGAGGGTGGCCCAGCAGCTAACCATGGGCCAGGCCTGAGCCAGTTGGGCAGAGGGCATGAGAAGAAGCGTCTTAGACATGGGGACCAGGCACACGGGCAGGGAGGGAGGAGGCAGCCCAGGGGCTGCTGGTGAGAAAAGCCCATAACTACCGCCGCTGCCACCAAGGCCCCTGCTGCTCCGTTCAGCACAGCGCTGCTGTGTGGAAGCTCCTCCTGGGCTCTTTGTTGTAGGTAGGCTAAAAATCCAAATCTTGGCCCAGGGCGGTGGCTTATGCCTGTAATCCCAGAACTTTGGGAGGCTGAGGCGGGTGGATCACCTGAGGTCAGGAGCTCGAGACCAGCCCGGCCAACATGGCGAAACCCCATCTCTATTAAAAAGACAAAAATTGGCCAGTGCAATGGCTCACGTCTGTAATCCTGGCACTTTGGGAGGCTGAGGCGGGTGGATCACCTTAGGTGGGTGGATCACCTGAGGTCAGAGGTTCAAGACCAGCCTGGCCAACGTGGCGAAACCCCATCTCTATTAAAATACAAAAATAAGCCGGGCGTGTTGGCTCACGCCTGTAATCCCAGCTACTCAGGTGGCTGAGGCAGAAGAATTGCTTGAACCCAGG